TTTTAAGCAACAAGTCCTTTCCTGCAGAATGAAAGAAAAACCCAACTCTTCCAAATATTTGCGTAAGAGAGATGCTTTGGTTTTTGTACTGCGTGGTAATCAAATCACTCCTTTTTTTGGCATTTACGGGAGGGATGTGTGGTAGTTAAGGGGTATCTGGCTTTACACTCTTATAAGCAATAGCTGTAGAAGTTTCTTCTGCCTTTCTGGCCATAAGCTCCTCTGATGAGAGGACACGCTAACATAATTCATCAACTTCAGTATTGGTGTTAAGGACATGACTGTGTCTAAATGTGAATTAAATGCAGAAGTTGGCTCTGTAGCGAATGGACGATAGGTTTGCTGCTCCCTATATATCCATGGGGCACCGAGAGGCAGCTGGCTGATGCTTGGCCTTGGTACATGATATTCTGCTAAAGTATTTTCTTAAAAGCTGCAGAAAATGAATTCAAAAGCAATCACTTTAAATTGGACCTATACTACTTGCATGTAAGTAGGTGTTCAGAGCCAGGCTACAAAATTTATTTCTATACTTGAGGGGTTTCCGTCTCTTTTTTTTTGTGTCTCTCTCTGTCTCTACCACCCCTTCCCCCAGCCCATTTTGAGATTTATGTCTGAAGTGATACAAGGTTTTTTTCTTTTTTCTACTTTGCATATGCTTAACATACGCAGACTCTTGATTTCAGTTTCTGGTTCTTATTCAGGCTGTCAGAACAATTGAAGAGTCTACGGCGTGGGTCATACCTTTGGGGAAGAGGGGAGCTAAAAGTGTTACTGCAATTATAAAATATGGCTTCAGCAGCTTACTTATCTGCTGCAAGACCTAAGCACAGCCGTGTCAGCTGTTTCAGTTCAGTTTCAGTGCTGAATTTCCTGGCTGCTGTCAATCTAGGCCATACACTTGATGTGAATTTTTCGCCATGTAAATAGGCAAAAATATTCTCGACTGCCATTCACACACTTCAGAAATACAGTTCATTGGCCCATATCGTGCCTTCTCTGTGCAAGAGATGAACTTAATTCTTCTTATGTGCGAAAGATATCTGCAATTTAAATGACTAATTGCATTGTAGCTTTAGGCTGAACATATTGGTAATGCGCAAATGTTGATGACATGTGAAGGGTCAAGAGATTTATAATTTAGTTGACAATACATTGCTTAAAATGATGTGGCAAAGAGCCAGAAAATTTCAGCTTAATAATTGTCTATTAACTAACATGACGTATTTGTATAGTATTCATTACCTCCAGGTACAGATTAAGCATCTGATGTAGCCATACGAAGTGACATGCGTACATGAATCTTGGGCATAATAGTGAATAAACTGACATTACATTCGCAGTAATTTGTTTCAGTATGTAAAACATGTTGTTGCCTACATTTGAAAGGACTTGTAGGAATGTTGCAATGAAATCTGAGGAAAAACGCGTAGCTGAATAGTGTTCTCTATTACATAGATCTGACAGCTTTGTGAGGTTTCTTTGCAGACTGCAGATGACATCATAAATATACATGTTTGTTTTCAGCTGCACGAGGAGCAGCCTGGAAATAGAGATGTAAGCCTTTCAGATATTGGCTTGATCTACTCTAATGGTCTATGAGGTTAAAAAAACCCCAACAACAAAACACAACACAAAAAACCAAAACCAAACAACAAATGAAACCACCACCCAATGCCACCACCTTTATTTAAAAAAAATAATAAAATCATATTTATATAAATATTGAGTAATGTGGTATTTTAGCATTGTGAATGTGGGAGTACTTCTAGCAGACTAAGGCTTGTTAGAAGAGGCAGAATCAGTAGGCTGGCTTGTCACCAAAGTAGTACCAACTTCTTCCACTTTGTGTTCTCTGGCCTAAATTATTCGTACTTATTTGTACAAGCAAAACTTCCACAGTTCTGACAGGGTCTCTTCCTTCTTCCTTGCTGCTGGGAGAAACCCAGGAATGTGTTTGACCACTCCACAGTGCATTAATGGCTCTTTAACCCTTTTTTCTTCCCGTGAGACAGGAACGTGTTCTGTGTTTTGCAGCTGGGAAACTAAGGTACAGGATACATTAAACATCACAGACCTCAGTGTGACCGCAGGTGACAAAGCTGGGAGTTGAACCTGGATGCATTTGCTCCAATTAGCTAGATACTTTTACCACCTTCCAACAACATCTCTGCTGCACGCAGCTGTAATTATTCAGTGTTTGGAGATGACATTGAAAACTGTCTTATGGCTTTGCTTCCTTCTGCTGGTGGTATTTTTATAACGCGCAGCAGAGCTGCAGTGACAGTTCCCTCTCTTGGACTCTTGGCTCTGAGACTGGGATGCGTTTATGCCACGCCAAAAATTGAAATGAGAATTCTTGGCTTGACTTTTTAACATTTGACTGAACGCTTTGCTCCCTTAAAGTGCCCTCCTCTTAGGAGTTTAAAATTTTGAACATGATTGGTGTGAAGCTATTGAATTTGAGAAGGGGGAGCGTACTCTGCCAGGAACAGTTCACTGAGCCTGACCTGGACTTGGTGGGAAGGAAGGTGTCTGCTGATCCCTCTGAGCTTTGTATTGGGGGTCTCTAGACTATCTTTGAGCAAGTTTGATATCCTTGTCAGTCCCTGTGATCCAGACTTGTAGATCACATGCTCCAGATACCTTGGAGACTAGGAATAGGGTGGTGATGGTAGCTTGGGTAAAGGAAGAGCCTTGTCGTGAGCTGTCACTCTGAATCAACTTCACTCTTGCCTTTTCAGAGAGAGTTGGTATTTAATTCTCAGTCCAGCCACTGGAGAGAGCTCTAGAGATCTTAAAACAGGTTTTGGGAGCAACTTCTTACAAAACCAGGCTCATCCGGGTATAAACTTAGTTCAGAGTGAGTTCCCCAACGCAGTTCCAGTCTGGACAGGAATGACCTAGGTTGTCTGTTGACTTTTTTAGCTTTAAACTGTCATGCACTTTGAGAGAAGGACCTTTTCTTTGAACTTGGATGTGGTAGCAGCTCTTTAGATATGTTCAGTAACTAGTCAAAGAGCCCCTGAAATGCTCTGCTCAGTACCTCTGATAAGCTGGTGTGATGCTATGTGAGACTTAGAAGTATGAACTGGCTGCCTTTAGCAAACAAGAGTCCAGGATAAGCTTTGGATGTGATATTACAGCATAACATCACTTGATGTCTGTGCACTGGGCATGATGGGTAAGAATTTAAGAACAAACAAATCCATTACGCAGTCTCAAACGCAGGCAGCTTGGCGCTTCTGCCCTACTGTAGCATCTTGCAGCTCCGACAGCTTCCAAAGCGGGCTCAGGGATTTGTGCCGTCCGCCTCCTTTTTGTGAGGCTTTGTTTGGTGCCTTTTTCAAGGTAAGGCTTCTAGTCTAGTGACTATTTAGAGAGAAAATACTTTCACCTCCATAAAGTTCTTTTGAATTATAAAGGACGTTGCTGCTGGGTTACTGAAAACCCTTGGGGTTTGTTTCATTTGTAACATTGCCTCGGGCCTTCTGCTGCATCCTGTTGGATTGACCTCCTTTTCAACCCGTGCTGGCAGCTGCATTGCAGAGCTATCTTTTCCCTGGATCCTTCAGGGTTGTCATATGACAAACTTGAACTGTGACCCTTTTGTGTCTTACCAGGACAGCAGTGCCCTCTCCATGCGATGTGGCCAGCAGTCTTCCCCACGCACGCATTTGTTCCGAGCCATTTAACAAACTGAAAGTTTCAAATGATGGCATTTCATAGTGTTTAATAGTATCGACTGTAAAGCAAATGAAATGGTGCTGAATACCCTGCATGCCGCTAGTAAGAAATACAGCTTCCATTTCTGCAATGTGCCCTGGGTTTTCTGTGGTTAGTGCACGCTCTCTGGTGACTTTATTTTTTTTAATAAATTTCAACGCTTCCCCCTAACAACGGTAGCGTTTGCTGCTATAGATAGTCCAGCACTGGTATTTGTTTCTAATATATGGGGTTTTTAACCAGATTTCTCTAAGCAAAGTGGGCAAAGTCATTTTGCTGAAGTCTTGCAGAGAGTGTTAGGGTAAGAATTGATAGAGTTAACACGGCATCCAAGCAACACCATCTCCAAGTGGTGTTGATGCTGGCAGGCATTGCCTTGCTGAAGTTACAGAGACTGAGCACTCGTATTTGTACAAATTGCGTTCATTACCAAGAACCCTCCAGTAGTGATAAGAGACTGGCGGCGTAGCATAGATTGGCTCCAAGATAAGTAGCCAGTCTATTGTGCAGCTCATGGTAATCTTCCTCTTCCCTGCCCCTAATAATAAATCTTGGGGCATTTTGGAATGCATGGGGGTTGCACATTCCAGTAGCCTGAATGTGTAACTATTAAACATCATCATCTCCTACCAATTGTGCTTTTGTAACCAAGCGAGGCAGCTGACTGGTACAGTGTTCTGAACACGCGGATGCTTCGACTGGGTGTGTTTGTTGCTCCCTTAAAGGACAATTCACAGGTGGTGGCCGGGGTCAGAGTTTCTCCTGGCTGCGTTTCAAGGCTAGAGCCCACTTGTAGTGATGGTTTTCTCCAAGAAGAGATGTGAACATCTGGAGCTTGGGTGTTTGCAAGTGGGACAGAGCCTTGCACAAGCTGGGGCTCTGCATAGGAACCGTGGTAGTAGCTTCTTCATAGTTAGCTTGACCTTTCTCAGTGTGTTTATGTAGTATGACTTAAGTGAAATGGCAGTTATTTACCTTACCATAATAATATAGTTTTTAAAAAAGATAGTTTTTTATTTTTACAAAGAATTTTTTCATTGCTTTGACTGAAATAAACCATTAACTGGCAAGTGCTTGTTTTGTCTTTTAAGGTATCTAATGTACAAGGACATCTGGATTGCTGGTTTTTAACATGTAAATCTGAACATCAGCAGGCTAGTTTTATGCAAGTAGGCAGTATAATCCAACCAGTTTGGTTAGAATTCTACATAAATACAAGTTTTTAATGTGTGGATTTTTTTTCCTTTCTCTCCCCGTGTGTCCCCCCCCTTTAGGATTTGAAAGGCAATGGAATCACTCCTGGATCATCAAGTTTTAGCCTTACAAAACAGCTGCTGTGTCCAAGAATAACCCGCATCTGTCTCAGGGACTTGATATTCTGCATGGAACAAGAGAGGGAGATGAAGCATTCTCTGAACTTGTACCGTGCTCTTCTGAAGTGATTTGAATTTTACATTTCAACTTGCTGTCTACTGCCAAAGAAAACACTGAAGCATTGTTGCACTGTCTTGAAATTCCAATTTCTGGAAGATGATCCGTTGTAAGGATAACTCTTGTTTACAGAAAAACATTTTTATTAAATACCTAATTTAGCATCTGTAGGGTTTTTAATAATATTTGGCTTAAACCAGTCTGTAAACCAGTGAAAACACTGAGCTGCACACACAGGCACCTGACTACCTGCTTGCATTTAACTGTCTTGCAGGCTCCGAGGGCTTGATACGTGTCCCTAGTTTATGTATGTTGCTTGCTTCAGTACTCCAGAGTCTGCAACATCTGTTCGATGTGTAGTGCCTTCTTCTAATCCAACCTTATTTAGGGAAACAACACTTTAGAGGCACTGCATAGCATGGCAACTGTATTTAATCATGAACCAGCAGTCAGTCAACATGCTAATGTGTTGCCTGTCTGAGTCAGCATCTCCTTAAATTTTCTCTGTTTAGAGTTACTACTGGATGCTTGTTTGTGGAGAGCCAAGCAGCAAGCAAAAGGAACGAGGGGTGCTTTCTCGCCCCCACCTCACCTCAACTGCCCTCCCCCTTTCCTCTGAGAAAGTGACTGAGGGAAGTTGAAGAAATGGGTTGTTCTTATGATTGAAGTACATCAGACAGTGTAGTTAGGGCACACTTCGATGTTCGGGGCAAATTTGGAGTTAGTAAACTTGCACACTAGGAGTGAAAGAGCCTGAAAAGGAAGGGTAAACGGAAGAAACAGTTTGTCTTTCTGTAGATACAAAAATAGCATTGAACTTGAGCATAGATGTAAAAATAAATGAACAGAAGCAACCTGTGCTGACTACAAAAAAGGGAAAACTTGAGACGTATTGAAACTTTGCAGCTGGAGACTCTTAAGGAGAAAAGCAGTGTTTGCAAAGCACAAGATTCACTGCTTTATTTAGAATATTGTTTTAATACCTTAATAGGTTCTTCCTGAATAGAAAGTATTTAGACAGTTGCCTGGTTTCCATTCAGTGAGGAGGAGGACTCTGGATTAGTAAGACTGCTTGAATATATTCAAAGATTTTTCTGCTTGCTGGTAAAGACTGCCTTGTGGTGGCAGGAAAAACCTCTGGGTCGCCCTTCTCCTGGCCTCCCATGACACAGTGCTGTAGAGCATGGCTATTTCCCAGGACTGGTGGGAAAG